GCACGGGCCAAATTTGATTTTCAATATGGACAGATGGACCTTCGTCGATGAGATCAAAATAACGTGAAAATATGGATTCATAATCCATTGATTTGTTTCAAAAAAATAGTAATGCTTAATTTGAATAATCTGTTATTGTTTTATGTGATTCGAATTACGCATGATTAAGTTACCAATCAGTTACCAGTCATTTTTTTCCATTTTATTTGCAATAATTACTAATAAATTATGTTTATAAAAAAAGTCAAATATGGATTTATAATGTGTCAACAACCCTGCAGTGAATTTTTGTTTTTTTTTTCATGAAAATTTGGCTAGTTTTCATATATTCTTTTAATTAAAATAATGTAATTGTAGTAAATTAATCAGTTATTTAATAATATACAAGTGTATGTATTTCCAAATATTTTGTTTTATTTTTATTTTACTCCTAATGAAACATATCAATCATGTGTGTGTGTGTGTGTGTGTGTGTGTGTGTGTGTGTGTGTGTAAATATATATAGTTTCCAATAACAACCTGTTTTTAATAAGTTAAATAAATTAAAACATAACATGAAAAAATAAAATAAAATTTTAATTTTTGTAAAACCGATCACAATTTAACGATTGTCCAGGCTCATTGGACCAGATTAAAGAACTGCGTGACCCCGCCGGCCATACTTTGCCCACCTTTGTTGTAGACGGTCATTCTGGTTCACTGTGGATGCTCTTTCCCTCACAGGGCGAGCACAACATTGGCTTGAATAAGATCGAGGACATTTGGTACCTAATGGAAGACAAAGATAACCGCAAACGTCAGGCTCGCTCGCACCGCAGCATTTTCGCTCCGTTTGCACTAGCGGAGGAAATGATTTGTCGTTCTCCTTCTCAGTAATCAGGGACCACCTCATTGCATCGTTTGCAAAACTCAAAGAGAACTCCTTCGAGGCGCTGAAACTCTACGCCCTCAAGACCGAGGACCGCGACCTGGAGGCCAAGCTCACAATTGTGGCCAAATACACAAGCCGCATCCCCGATCTGGTGAAGAGCCTGAGGAGGCACTCGGAGGTCAACGTTAAAAAAGCAGGTATGCACTTTTGAGAATTTAAAAAAAAAAAAAACAAAAAAAACATTACAATTCATTCATGTTTTTTTTTTTGTTTCCTTCCAGACTTCATACTTGGCACAGTCCACAAAGCCAAAGGCCTGGAATTTGAAATCGTGATGGTCAGCGATGACTTTGTCACCGTTCCCTGCTCCCGACACAACCACCACCACTTTAACGACTTTGCTTTTTGTGAGTCAAGGTGTTTGTTTTTTTTTTTTAGTTTGGCGTACCAGTGCCCCAACTTTACAAATGTTCTCCAATTTCAAGCTATCACGTGGTCAATTCATCATTTCAATTTTTGCTCTCTGTTGTGAGCCGAAATGTGAATCACCGAACAAATTAAAACTTGTAAACGAAGGTACTATTGTATTTAAGTTTTTGCCCTGCTCATAATTTTTTCTCTCTCAGGTAAAATCCCCGGCGATGAATGGAACCTGCTCTACGTGGCGGTAACTCGCGCTAAAACGACGCTGATCATCACACGGAGCATCCGCCGCATCATCACGCAGACTGGCGTAGGGCACGATCACATGCTCGCTCGTGTGCACGCGGTACACACAGTCGATGCAAGAGTCATT